TTTAGAGTGTTAAGTGTATATAGAAGTTTAACTAGAATAGAAAATATTTGGCAGCTTATCTAACTGCATGTCATGAAAATCATGTGATGATGTGACCATTCTATGATTAGCTGGCAACTGAGCTGTCAATTATTCTTCAAAATGAGGACAAGCAAGAGAAGTGCTCCTGTCACACAGACACAGTCAGTTCACAGTTCTCACTGTAAAGAAGAAGCTGTCACCAAATCAAAGTATCAATCTAGTGGGAAGGTCCATTCTTTCTCTCGCAAGTTTCGTCATTATCTCTCTGTTGCTTTGCCTATAATATATGCCATTCCAATTTTCTCAACCTTTGCTTTGATTTATGTCACAGCAGAGTTGATATTTGCTAATGATGCATGCTCTACACAGTGGGGTGAAAATAAAAGCACAGTTATAAAAGCAACAGTTTCTACATACGTTGCTGAGTTCTTTATCTTTTTGGGCTTTCCCATAGCTGGTTGGCTAGCTGACACTAAATATGGACGATTTAAAATGCTAACATTTAGTTTGTGGTGTCTGTGGTTTGGATTGGTATCTCTAACACTTGGATCTGTGTTTTATCCAGGCCTGTCATGCAATGAAAATACATTCCTCTATTATGTGGGACGTTTCATCCTTTTGCCATCTTCAATAATACTACTCGAAACAAGCATTATAACATTTTTTCCAAACATCTTGGCTTTTATAGTTGATCAAATGGTAGATTCACCAAACAGCATTGTAGGTAGTGTTGTTCGTTGGTTTGCTTGGGCACTATTTGTCTCAATATTTTTTGGTTATCTATTAGTGCTACCATTCACTTTCAAACCAACTGATGTTATTGAGCATTTTCCAATTGTCCCGTTGTTATGGACAGTGGCTTCATCAATGGCTCTTCTACTTCACTTCTTTTCACAATCAATCTACACCAAGACACTACCAAATCCAATGAAAAGCCCGTACAAGATAATTTATGGTGTCTTGAAGTTCACATACCAGCACAAAGTACCAGTCAATCGTAGTGCACTTACTTACTGGGAAGAAGATGCACCAAAAAGAATAGATATTGCCAAAAGCAAGTATGGAGGGCCTTACACAACAGAAAATGTTGAAGATGTCAAGACGTTTGGTCGAGTGATGTTTGTTATATTATGTCTTTGTATTTATTACTTATCTTATGCAAGCCTCTCTACACAAATGCTGCCATTTCTAGAACATTTGCAATACACCGATGACTTGGAATCATCCAAATGGATCATTTATCTGTTAGATCCACTCTTGCCAATCATCAGCATTCCCATTCTGGAATTGATTGTGCTTCCACTCTATCCAAAGTTTGAATACATTCTTACAAAGTTTTTCAAATCTATTGGTATTGGAGTACTTGCCCTGCTTGCCAGCACTAGTTCCTTTCTAATAATCGACATTATTGCACATGTAGCTACAAATGATGATGATGATGTCTGTTTCTTAGATTGGTCAAACAAAAATTCTACAAAATCCATTTCATATGCTTGGGTTATAATCCCAGCATTATTCCTGGGCATATCAGACCTATTGGTGGCTCCATCTGTCTTCACATTCATATGCAGTCAAGCACCATACAATATGAGAGGAATGATACTTGGATTCTTTATGCTCATACAACAAGTTATGTTTTATTTTGGTGACCAGCTGGCAATATTTTTTACTATTGGTGCACACAAGTTTCCATTCAGTTGTGGTGCATGGTACTGGGGAATGCAAGTAATTCTCAGCATATTGGCAATAGTCTCATTCGTAGTAGCTGCACGATTTTACAAGAAGAGAGAAAGACAAGAAATTGATAACTATGTAAGAATAATTGAGGACATTTACGAGAAAAGATTAGAAAAAGATGAGGAACAAAGATTGTCCATTCTTACAGAAGAAAATGTAATCAACTAATTATATACTAATACTTGATTTTATTTTAATTAGAAATAATAATTACCTAAATTGAATTATTCGGGGGCGGAGCCATGCAGGTAAATTAATGAGCTGCCAGCAAGGGTCAATGTTCAAGCCATAAACCTTGCTGTTTCGAGTCCTTTGACAAGCTATTGATATCTAGACCATGATGGCGGCAGTTACCACTAACATAGTCAACGGCATTCCTTTTCCTGTTCTCGTTGATCAAGCTAAATATGATGCCTTGAGAGACTTTCCCCTTCGCTCTGATGACTTCTTTCTAGTGACTCACATAAAGTCTGGAACGACTTGGCTCCAACAGATATCAAAACTTGTAAAAATTAAGGGAGAAAAAACCTTCATTAAAGACGAGGACAAGCACATTTTTGAAACCTGTCCATGGTTTGAAGTGATTGGAAAAGAAGCTGCAATGGTAAGCAGATAAGTCATAATTATTTTATTACTATTTATTTGCATTTATAGTTGTTTGTTTTTGATTTTAAAAAATTGTTTTACTGTATTTTGAAAATTACTGTATAACAAGAGATTTTGTGGCCCAAAATTTACCTGAAAGTCAATTTGCTGTCTCGGCCAAGACTAATGTGTATATACCATATTAAATAATTTTCGTGAACTTTACCCCCAAGGTGTGTGAAAATTTTTAACCAAAAAGTTTTTCGCTATGCAGAGTGGGCAGTACAACAACTACAAAAAATAGAGCTCATTTATTTCAATGTAAGTACTAATCAGATCTGGAGTCAATTATAAAATCTTAATTACAATTACACATTCAATTACACTCCTTTTTGAAATTAGACTCGATTAGAATTACAATTATGTCTTGTTGATCAAAAATACTATGTTTTTACATGAAACAGAAATGTGGCTTGCTTTAAAAAAACTAGCAGTTTAGCTGTCATAAAACAGGGTTTGCCACAAAGCATGCTAAGCCTAAGTGAGCTAAACAGCACACATGAGCAATGCAATAGGACCAGTAATTTTAAAATTGAACTTTAATCAGAAATTTGGAATTAGCTTAAACTATAGCCATACAACATCAAAACGTCAGAAAATGGAGATTCTCTCCTAGCCATTTTGACAAAATACATGTACTATGGATTAGCATTTTGTATACATGTGTATAGTACAGTCAAGTACAGTGCATGTACATACACGTATGATTGTGTGGCTACTGAGGTAGATAAGAGCATTTTCCCTGTGTCTGTATTGATTTGTTATTTAGTACACTATTTCATTTACGTATGTGATCATAATTTTAATCAAGCCCCTAATTACAGTTGTATTGATCCCAGATTAGACTAATTTCATCTTTTTTATTATATTTTTATCTCTAAGGATATACCATTGTAGCAATTTAATTTGGTGACACTTTATTTCTCATGTTAATTTTACCAAAATTTGTGATCTTATGCATTACTGATTAATGGTTTTAATATTTGCAATATGGCTTGAAATTTCCCAAAATAAAACCCTGTCACTATATATATTATACAGTATATCATTTTACATATTAATTGAAGAACAGTAAATAGTGCTGTATGGCACCATGAGTAAAGTCGAAAACAGCAGACAGCATAAAGCACAAAGCACCAAGTGGTAGCTGTATTGACTGTCAAGACTTCACCAAATACACTCCTAGAGAAATTTTCTGGAGTTTTTAATGGCCTATCAAGGTGTAGGCAAAGCTAATACAGACATTTACAAGCCCGCTGTGTTTAACAAGATGATTTTTTGCCACATGACACGACTTGGCTGCCTGAAGATCAACATCAGAAGATATCTGGCAGTTTTTCTTTTTTCCTGGTCACAAAGAGCTCCTCACCTAGTGTTGCTATAGCCATTGTGAAGCTACTCACTTCTGGTGCTGTATGCTATATAATGGAACAGGTGGTACCTTTGATGTGCCCATGTATTATAATTTAGTATAATTTTTAACATAAAACAATGAAATGTGTCATCTAACTCTTACAAATTCTCCAGTGGTCAGACAGACACATTCTGTGCTTTATTAATGGAATAATTGCTGCAGCTTTTACTCCACAAGAGTATCAGATGCTTTAGCAACAGCTACATTTGACTAATAAACCTTTTTATGTCCTAAAACCGAAGCATTTAGAGCCTTTTCACTCTCATTTCCATTTACTTGAGGTACACAGGAAATTACAGTGATTGATAGATTGTTGCCTGTATAACTTGACATACATTAATGGAGCATTAAATGAAGAGCCTGCTCCCTTTACTATATTTGTTTGGTCAGGAACCCTGCAATCAGGCAAATTGAATTAATTTCAGCTGATACTATTATTTACCAGCAGGTTTTCTGTTATTAATCTGTGGGTATGGACTAATTATGTTGGCTCACCCAATTAAGTATGGTTTTTGTGTATTTGAACTATACAGCCAATCAGCCTCGAACTATTGTTAATTTAGGGAACCTACGTGTATGCATACTAATTTTTGTTTTTATTTGTTTCTTTTAGTCAGTTCCTTCTCCTCGTCTCTTTAAAACTCACCTACCCTACCATATGATACCAGGAGGGGACCCAGCTAGCTCAGTTGCTAAGTTTATATATGTGGCTAGGAACCCAAAAGACGTTGCTGTATCACTATACCATCACTCTCGTCTGTTGACTCATTGCGAATTTGATGGAGATTGGGATTGTTTTTTTGAACTTTTTATGGAAGGAAAATGTGAGATGGGTAGCTGGTTTGATCATGTTTCTGACTGGTGGAAACACAGAGGTATTGTAACAATTATAATAGGCATACACTAGATGCACACACATGCATACACATGCACATGCATACACATTGATTTTAAAATTAACTGCAAATTTGTAATTAATTAAATTTATCACAGATGCTGAAAACATTCTGTTCCTAAGGTATGAGGACATGAAGAAGGATCTCCCAGGGGCAGTGAAGAGTATATCACAGTTCATGGGATATGATCTTGATCAGGCTACAATAGAGAGTATTGCTGAGCAGAGCTCATTTGAAAGCATGAAGGCAAATCCTCTGGCTAACCCTCAACATTTCGAGCCTCTTAAGAATAATTTCAAAGATACTGGTGGGAATTTTATACGTAAAGGAATTGTGGGTGATTGGAAGAATCATTTCAATGAGGAACAGTTGGCAAGATTTAATGCTGAGTATGCTAAAAAGATGGCTGGAACTGGTTTAGAATATGATTGAGATTAGAAGAGCCTCTAATTATTATCTACTCTAGATTCTTGATTTGGTTGATTTTAAAATTTTTCTATTAATTAATTATTTTTAAAACCGAATTCGAACATGTGATTTTGGGTGTGGTATCTTTTTAAAAAATCAAATTCAGATCAAAATGAGTAAGTTTAGTATCAAAACCAGCATAGTGAATGGCGTTCCATTCCCTTCATTCATCGAACAAACCAAGTATGATGCATTGGTAGACTTACCGCTGTACTCCAGTGATGTCTTTCTTGTCACTCACATTAAGTCTGGGACGACGTGGCTGCAGCAAATAGCAACACTTCTCAAAATATCTGGTGAGAAAATAGGCTTAGATCATGAGAGCAGACACATTCTTGAAGCTTGCCCTTGGTTAGAAGTGATTGGCAAAGAAGCTGCAACGGTAAGAGTTAATGTTATTTTAACTATCTCTAAGCCTCAACTTTTACCTCAGCCCATTTTTCACGAAAATTAGAACACATCCACACAATTAGCTATTATTTTTGCAGGGGCAGGCCAATTTTATTCTTCGACTTAGGACTAGTCTGGCAGCCATACTAGGGTCAGACCATGCCTGACTAGGGCCTCTTGTGATACCCCTAATCATTTAAGGTGCACAATGATCGTTGGGTCAAACAAATAAATACAAACAAAATAAATTCAGATACAACACTGGTTAGCAATAAGTTGACAAATAAAAAATCGCTGAACTATAGACTAAACTTGTTTGGTGAACACAATAAAATGTGATAATACATACATGTAGATAAACAACGACATTAAATTTGAGTTTACACAAGTTACATTTGCCAGAGATTGTGGTAACATTTGAGCATGGGTAATGTTTAGTTTACAACTAGTATGTTGCTATAAAAACGATATAAACTATAGCAAACTAAAACTCAACTTAAATGCAAAACATGTCAACTTATTGCTGACCAGTGCTGTATTAATTTATGCGTTGTTACGTATTTATTGGTCTTCTATTCCTTATCTTTCCACTGTCTACTTCTCTATGTGTATCATTGTGTGTGTCTCCTTTATCTTGTATTCTCCTCTTTTCCTGGCTGGCATAGCATCCTGTATCACACCATCAGTGTTTCTACTGTACTTTCATTCTCCCTTTCTGCCTGTCTATATTATGTTGCACTGTAAAGTTTATAATAATAATAATAATAATAATAATAATACATATAGAAAGAAATTTTGGAGGCAATTAAATTTGGCAAATTTGGCATTTTGATAGCCATTTCCCAAAATAAAAATCCATCATTTTGAGCCATTATGCGCATGCTCAATGGCACATGGCCACAAATTTGCCAAAGTAAAATTCACCAATCACCAAAATTTAGCCATTTGCCAAATTTAACTCCCTCCAAAATTTCCTGCTATATGGTATAAAAAAGTTAAAATTTGACTGTATGGATAGAGAAGGAATAAAAATGTAACCACCAATGAGACCAATCACTCCAATTCAGTTTTCTGGGCTGATAGGTTGTTGTGTTCAATCATGCAAAAGCAATATGCGTGTGACATACCTTATACTGGTTTATTTTTGTGGTAAAATATTTCCGTAAAATTTCATGGTTTTTGCTCCATTGCAAAAGTTTTCCACCACAAAATTCTGCATCTCCATTGCCACATGGTACAGTCTGCAAGCTATTTGCAAAATTAATTCCACAAAATCTTGGAAATGCAAGATTCGCAAAAAATTTTCACTGCGAAAATAAACTGGTATACAGTATGTGGGCAGATAACTGAATTAAATTGGAGTAGCTATGCATTAATTAATTTATGGTAGAATTACTGTATAGTAGGAAATTTTTTTTCAGTGCTAATTTTCATTTGTTTTGTTGGCCAAAAGTTTCAACGAAAATTATTAGACAATGAAAATTTAAAATGAAGTGGGCATGACTGAGTTGATGATTAAAAATTAATGTTAATCAATGAAAATAAAATCGACAAAAAATATCTTGTAAGGCCTGCTTGGATGGACAATGAAATTTTCATGTTTGTGGCAACAAAAGTTTTCTGCTATACGGTACCTTGTATGTCTTTAAGTTTTGATGTCAAATCCTCAAAGCACATTTGAGGATGACATGAATTTACCGTATAGCCGCTTAATTTCGAGGGTACAACTTTCGCTGTTTTCACGGATTTTCCGTATTCGCGAAAGTTAATTCCGTAAAATTATTCGTATTGCCCATAAACACGTGTGCTTTAAAACAGGAACCGCGAAAGTTAATTCACGAAAAAAGACTTGTGGCCTGATTCGGGAAAGTTTATTGCTTTGAAACTTTGTGGCTATACGGTATACCATGCACCTAAACACCAATTACCAATAGCATTATTATTTTATTTTTTTAAACACAGGCAGTTTCCTCTCCTCGTGTTTTTAAGACTCATCTTCCCTACCACATGATTCCAGGAGGTGATCCAGCCACCTCAGTTGCTAAATTTATTTATGTGATTAGGAATCCAAAGGATGTTGCTGTTTCATTGTACTATCATGCCCGTCTTTTAAAATCAAATGATTTTGATGGAGATTGGGATTGTTTTTTTTGAACTTTTTATGGAAGGGAAGACTGTTATGGGGAGTTGGTTTGATCATGTCATTCCTTGGTTGAAGCATAAAGGTACATATATTGTATGGGCTTGTATATTTTAATTTGCCTCTAATTATTATGTATCATTAATTATGGTAGCAGTGCACAGTTTAATTTTGTTGAATTGTGGACTTGCTAAGTTTTTATACTATAGAAATACACAAAGATTACAAGAAACAAACAATATTGCATTTTATTATTTTACAGATGCTGAAAACATTCTGTTTCTAAAGTATGAGGACATGAAGAGGGATCTCCCAGGGGCAGTGAGGAGTATATCACAGTTCATGGGATATGATCTTGATCAGGCTACAATAGAGAGTATTGCTGAACAGAGCTCATTTGAAAATATGAAGGCAAATCCTCTGGCTAACCCTCAACATTTTGAGCCTATGAAAGATTTGTTTAAAGAGAACCGTGGTCAATTTCTGCGTAAAGGAACAACTGGTGAATGGAAAAGTCACTTTAGTGAGGAACAATTGGCAAGATTTAATGCTGAGTATGCTAAAAGGATGGCTGGAACTGGTTTGGAATATGAGTAGTCTTAATACCTGTATCAGTGTATCATGCTAGATTTGTAGATTTAGTTTTACTTTTATATAATACTTTTTAATTTCTTTTGATCTAGATCTATATATCTAAACTCTAGACATATCAGGGGTGGGGCTGATGGGTTTTTGGGTGAAAATTGAAAAATAAGAGAATGTCTAGTGCAGCTTTAAGTGTACCTTCTTTCGTCAGGCAAGAGGTGCTTGATGAGTTATTTTCTGATTTCCCATTGTCTCCAAAAGACCTGCTCATAGTTAGTTATCCAAAATCTGGCACCACATGGACGCAACACATTGTCAATCTCTTGTCAGCAGGAAAACTTGTAAGAAGCACAATTCCTATGTCATGATGTCAGTGTCTATCACGTCTATAATTTACAGGTAGAAGGAAGAATAGTATGTGATTCTACCCTTTCTGATGCTGTGCCATTTTTAGAAAAGATAGGGAGACAAGCTGCTTTGGTGAGAAACTGATAATTTACAATTAATTTTTGTATACAAAATTTTGAGGGTGCAAAGTTTTATGTTTTCATGATAAGCTCTTTTTTTAATTCCAAGGGGTTTTTATGTGTGCACATGCATTAGGTATAGGTACTGCGCTTGTGCAGAGAGTATTTCTATGGCATTAATAATTTCTGTTTATCCACAAAATTTTTGAAATTAAATATCTCATTAAATTTTATACTACTTCTATTACATGTATTAGAAGAGACCATCCCCTCATTATTTTCACACTCACTTACCTTACAACATGATGCCTGGAGGTGGTACACCTGCCCAAACACTTTCCAAATACATTTACGTTACACGGAATCCAAAGGATGTTGCTGTCTCTTACTATTATCACAATAAACGCTTTAAGTTTTCTGACTTTAGTGGAGATTGGGATGATTTTTTTTGAATATTTTCTGAAAGGAGATGTTAATTATGGTTCGTGGTTTGATCATATACTGGGATGGTGGAGTCACAAAGGTTTGTTTTAAAATCATTAATTTTAGTTGACACTAACATTATACATGTAGCAGGTGTTGTTGATTGGTGTACATAAATATTGAGCAATTTTAAACAAACTCTTCAATGTTTTCACATCATCTGGCAAAATGCTTTATAGTATGTTTTAATCTTTCATTATCAATAAAATAAGTAAATTTGCTCAAAAATGGGGCTGAAGCCCCCCTACCTTGCACTCCCTATTTCTATGCAGGGTTTCCCACAAACTATGCTAAGTTAACTAAAGAGCATGCTTTATGAGCTGACAACCACTGCAATATAGTACATGGCATTTGGTGCAGCTTTAAAAATTTTATAAAAAATTGAAATTTGATTGAAATTAGCTTAAAATTGATACACAGCATAAAGACATGTATATGTGTCAGAAAAAATGGATAATTCTCTCCTAACCATTGATGAAATTTGACCTAAGACCAAAAGCTATAGCCTTTGGTTATTGGCCCAATTTTTGAGCAATTTTTATATTTACAATAAATCCAGAATTAGCTCAAAGTTGATACACAACATAAGGTATCAAAAAAAATTATAGAAGTGAAGAATTTTTTCATTGTAATTTTTGTCAAAATAATATCCTTTACTATCTACACAGTCTTTGGCCCAATTTTTGGGCAACTTGACAATTCACTGACATGAGCACTATGCTAAAATCATGTAGGAAACTCCGTTCCTACCAAACATTATTTACGTGTATACGTATTGATTTTATTATGTAGATGCTGAAAATATTTTGTTCCTAAAGTACGAGGACATGAAGAGGGATCTCCCAGGGGCAGTGAGGAGTATATCACAGTTCATGGGATATGATCTTGATCAGGCTACAATAGAGAGTATTGCTGAGCAGAGCTCATTTGAGAGCATGAAGGCAAATCCTCTGGCTAACCCTGATCTGTTCTTTACATATAAAGTAGAGACAAATTCTACACCACCATTCCTTCGTAAAGGAGTTGTTGATGATTGGAAGAATCATTTTAGTGAGGAACAGTCATCAATACTTAATGCTGAGTATACTAAGAGAATGGGTGGAATTGGTTTAAATTATTGTTCATAAAATAGTTATTTAAATTTATATGTGACATGAAGTGTAATGCGTGTAGTACAGATGTACATATTACAACATTACATCTAAATGAATACTATTGTTATTATAATGAATACTATTATATGATCACATGATTGATTTTATAAATAAACAAGGTGTGTCATTAGCTCATGGATTCTCACAAAGAAGCGAGGCATTTGCTGTCCTCTTCATTTGATGGTGGAAGTATTTCTCTTGTCATTAATGTGAAAAAGGATAAAAGATCAAAAGCCACCAGGTGTTTCAGAAATTATTGGAAGGAGCTAAAGGCCCGTTCATTAAATATCCCATCAATTCTTCTATTGCTCTATGCTGCACCAATTTCAATCTGCACTGTAATTTTGTATAACATTGCTAATGACATAATTGTTCCACCCAGTCACTTATGTTCATTCTATTATCCTGGAAGTGATGCATTTGCTTACAGTCTGGTAACAATTATTGAGAATGCCCTTTACTTTCTCATTCCTCTTTGTGGTTGGTTATCAGACACAAAGATAGGACGCGGCAATGCTATTTATTTTAGCCTGTGGCTCGGTTGGATAGGATCTCTCCTGCAGTCGATAAGCTCTTGTTTGCAATACAGTTCCTGTGGTCCTATTGCTCTGACAGGTAGATATGCCATTTCAGGGATTGCTCTCCTATTTTTATTGGTTTCAATGGCTTTTATGTATGCCAATGTATTAGCATATGGCATTGATCAAATGATGAATACTTCAAGTATCAAGATACGTGCTTTTATTCACTGGTATGTGTGGGTACTTTTTGCCAGTGGAAATATCTCCTCTTATACTAGTTTTCTTTCCATTACACAATATCACACTGGTGCTCTCTCAGTTGCAGCTATAGCATTTCTTCTCTTCTCTCTCTCCCTTTGTCTTCATTTTCATCTTCAGCACCGCTTTGAACACATACCCATTCCAAACGTATACAAAACCATTTTTAAAGTTATAAAGTGCTCCTTTGAAGGCAAATATTTTAAAAGGCAACGCAGTGCATTCACATACTGGGGAGATGAACCAAACAGGCTTGATTTTGCTAAGGAGAGATATGGTGGTAGTTTTACTCATGAAGAAGTTGAAAATGTTAAGACCTTTTTACGTATTTTAGTTATCCTGGCAGCTCTTTCTCCTTTCCTTATAGCTTCAGATCCTTTTATTAATGGAATATCAAGTTTTGTTCCACAATTCAAGAAAGGATACACAGGCCTTGAAGGAAATGCTGGTTTTGTCGTTTGGTTTATTGGTGATAACACAGTACTGCTGCTCGTTCCTCTCTTTGAATTGGTGATATTGCCATTATTTCCTAAATTAGAATATTTCTTGATCAGTCCCCTGAAAGGGCTCTGTGTGTCATACATTAGTCTCATACTATCAATACTTAGTGTATTTATTATTGACATGGCTGGAAGATTGACTAATGGACCTTTTGACATTCCCTGTTTTACTGTGTGGGAGAAAACTGATCAAGCAATTCAGCTCTCCTTCTGGATACTAGTTTTACCATCATTACTCGCTGGCATATCAGATGCTATAACTCTTATATGCGTGTTTGAATTTCTATGCAGTCAAGCTCCTTTTGGTATGCATGGGATGCTTATTGGATTGTTCTGGTTCCTACGTGCTATATTCATTGACATTGGCTCTGGACTTACAGTGACATTTCAATATGTCAGTTTCAGTTCAAAATCTACAATGTCATGCACTTCATGGTTCACTATTATATTAGGTTCTGTGGCTGTAGTTGGTATAGTCATATATATATTAACAGCACGGTGGTATGTGAAGCGGGTAAGAGACCCTGACCTTGACCTTCGCTCTGCCATTGAAGAGCAATTTGAACAAAGACTGATTAGAGAAGAGTCTTTTATCGATAAAAACAATAAACAAAATGAGGATGACATTGTTCTCATTAAAGAGGAAAATGCACAACATTAATTTTTTTATTTAATTTTTATACTTTTGTTCTAAATCTAAATAGTAGTACTATATATAACAATTAATATTAATGATGCACCAGTGAAATTCATTTTCAAAAAATTGTCTGTTTTAAAATTTAATTGAATTTGGAGATGTTTTCAGAGCCAATTTTTGGTAACTCTCATAAAGGCACAAATGCATGCAGAGTGTGGTAGGGCCACTCAGTCTGAGGCCAGGAATAATACAAATAAAACAAAATGGTATTTAAATTTACAAACATTCAACTGGGATGTTAGTCTACTATGAGCATGTTGTGTTGATTACTTTACAAATAGCAATAGTATTTTCTTTAATAAAACAGTGTCGGAACATGACTCTTTTCTTTCATCTAAAAATATATCCAGGATTAATGAAAATATAATGTTATAAATGTTATCACTAACTTAGTCAGATTCAGTTGTCCTTCTAATTCTTTGACTCTTTTTCGTAAATTTAAAATTATCTTTTCAGATGGTTCCTTCTGATCAACACTGTTGTTTGTCAGTGCATGAGAATTAGTTGGAGCAGCTGTAGCTCCACTTTGAGAGAAAACTTTTTCTCCTTGAGGATCAAGGTATAAACAAATCATCTAAACAAAAATAAAAATAATGGTTATTTTTATGAGGCTTCTATCTCACCTTAGGGATAAAGATGAGTCCAAGAAACAGTGATGCTTCAATAAGCAATCCTAATCCAAAC